TATTACCACAGGTAAGGTTTTCAAAAGGATATAGTCGGTATAATTATATTATTATATTATAGAAATGTGTTTTGTTTATATTAGATATTCAACCGTTTCGAGATATACGAGGGCAGCGCCAAAATTTCCCAGCCTGAATAATGCCTGTAAAATGAGCTAAAACAGCCTCTTTTAATTCAACTTCGTCGTTAAACCTCCGCCCACGTAAGTCCTTTTTCAAATATCCAAACAAATAATAGTCGCTGGGGGCCATATCTGGACTATAGGGAGGATGATCTATCTGTTGGAACCCATAATCTAAAATGGCAGCTTGTGCAACACCAGCAGACGCACGCCTCTGGTCAGTTTTCCTCGACGTTTTACAAGTATGCAGTCTCGCAATTTATGTAATAATATTGCGTAATATTTACCAATGACAGTGGTATTGGTTTCTTTATAATCCATCAAAAGAATTCCTTCACAATCCCAAAAGATCGTGGCCATCACCTTTTTTGTTGACTGGCAGACTCTGAATTTTCTTAGAGGTGTTTCACCCATAACGACGCCACTCCAATGATTGTTTTTTCGATAGAGGGTCATAATAACGAACCATAGTTTCATCTCCCGTCACAACAGTTTCTATCATAGGCTTCGGTTCCGACCCACAGAGTTCCAAAAAATACCGCGCACACTCGACACGGCGTTGTTTTTGAATAGCCGAAAGGTTTTTAGAAACCCATCTTGCACTAACCTTATGCATATCTAAATGATCATGCAGGATTCAACGAACACTTGTATCAGATCAGAAAGCTTAGTAATTTCTGAGATTTCCTTGACCTTTAAACGTCGATCACTCAATACCACCTCTTCCACAATCGCAACAATATCTTCCGTTATGACCTCCACTGGTCGACCAGATCTTGAATTATCTTCAAGGGACTCCTGCCCCATTCGAAAACGTTTTGCCAGTATCTTGCTTATTCACACACACTCTTATAAAATCGTATATGATATATATATATATATATATATATATATATATATATATATATATATATATATATATATATATATATATATATATATATATATATATATATATATATATATATATATATATATATATATATATATATATATAATATATAATATATTATTATATATATATTATAATATATTATTATATATATATTAATATATATATATATATATATATATATATATATATATATATATATATATATATATATATATATATATATATATATATATATATATATATATATATATATATATATATATATATATATATATATATTTAAAAACGATGTTAAATAGTTTCTTTTGTTCTCGTAGAAAACTTTGGCATTTAACTTGAAACCTGAAACCATGCAAGTTACGACACACGTTTATACGGCAAAACATCAAAATCTTTATATTAAAATTTGAAACACCCCGTACATTTTCGACGGATAAGCGGCAAGAAAAGTTGTCCAATATCCGCCTTTCGACGTTTTCCCCCCTGTGCGCCGCCCTCCCGCCCTTTCGCGTGATTGAACTTTCGGCTTAATTTTCGAAGCTTTTGCGTCTTTGTGGTCCGTGTTATCCGGTTATCTTTAATCTCGGATTAAATGGAGTACACTGAGCGAAAGTCTCTTAGCGCCATTTTTGGTATTTCATATTCATCTCTCGGGAGATTCGTTTCGTCTCTTTCCGCCCCCCCACCCCACATTTTTTTCCCGACGAGCCAAACAGAACTAACCAAATCGCTTTATCCGTGCGCGACTAGAGTTTTCTGTCCACGGGCGAACAAGACAGGTCGACCCGATTATTTAAATATTTATCAAATTGACATGATTCGATATCTCTTAATTATGTATTTATACTTACGAGCTACAACTCGGCGCATTTATTTATATATAATTCATTGCCGTTTTCGTCAGATTAAAATAAGTTTTAATCGATACGACTGGTAATTTCTCGCCAACTACTCTAAAGTAGTGATGGGCGATTATGAACGATACCATTATTCGTATTAATGGTACAGTGGAAACTCTATATAGCGAACTTGAAGGGACTGTTTTTTTTTTTCGTTACAAGAGTTTTCATTATAAAGAGTTATAGGCACTTAAAAAATAACAATACGCATAAGTCTTCTGTAATATTTAATTATTTTGTATACATATTTTACCATCTGTCGTGTTATTGTCTATAACATTTTAAAATAACATATATACGTTTTTTAACACCTTTATTTTCGTGACCTTCTACTAGCATGGCTACCATAGAACAGAGACCCCCGCGAACCATGGAATCTCCCTGGTTGCATCGGTTGCCTGATGGCACACCATCTACTTAGGAATATTTTATATAAATATTTAAGAACTACATTTAATATTTCAAATTATTATTTTGAATTTTTTTAGTATGGCAATACGCATTTCGTACTTTGGCTTGTATTTTCACCATTTCTTCGAGATAAAAAAAAAATTCTTTAGCAGCTTAACTGAATATAGGGCTAGCAGAGCATTTGATAAAGGCACGGTGTTGCCGAAACAGCTGTCATTTAAATATATTTATGTGAAAATCTGAACAACGTTTGCTCTTATTTAACTACCTGAGTTTCTGCTACACCAGTACTTTCCGAAAGGATATTTTAGAAAACTGGCATCATCGCTAATGCCGGAAGAGACGGACTTTCACTTCTTTTTAAGTACAAGAAAAATTATAAATTTAATAAAATATCATTTACTTCCTCCCGTAAATCGAAATAATCTTATAATTCATTTCTTTACTTCTCGCATCATTCAAAAATCGTCACGAGTTATACCCCTGATGAGGAAACAAGTATCAAAAAAGGGTCTTGAAATGCGTAAAATACGAAAAGACTGCCCCAAAAAACATCCGCAAGGTTTTAGTCTGCTCCAGTTGCGATTCATCGGGTCTTTGCTTCACATTAAACGTGAATACGCGCGATGCAACGTTGCCGATATTTTTCGGCTTAGTTTTATTCAGGATCGTGTTATATTCGACACGCCTGCATAGAACAATCGCAAATTGCGACTGATTGGGGAAATTGCACGCCGACCGCATAAACGATGTTCAGGAATTACCGCATTAGGCGCCAATAGATTTTTCTTCCGGCCGTTTTGATTCAAATATTCCGCAAACCGCAACAATCGCGTAGCGACTACTTTTCGCTCAGCGTATACTCCTGTTTTCGTCCGGAAATGTCATTCTAAATTTAAGAACGGGCGATGGCTAGTACAACGCCCGAAAATGCTAATTAATTCACATGGACGGGGGCGTAAAACGTCCATTATCGAATCAGCGGTGGCATTTACCCAGAATGCAACGTTTCGCGCGTCCGTGACAACTAGCATGACAGTCGAAACCGTGCTCCGTTATTTATGGTCTGCGACGCGTCTTTCATCCTCATTTCATGTCGGGAACTTTTCTAATTGCAAAGTTCGCGATAAATACAGGGCAAGAAGATCCCGAACGTCGTCGCTTCAGTTATTAATCGCGAGAAAAGTTGGTTGACGAAACTTGGCCACGACGTAACGCAAAAGTTCCGATTTTTGACTCGCGTATCTATGCAACACACAACGCAAGTTTCGCCGTGCGAACGGGAAAGTGCATCGAGGTTAGAGCGTTTCAAATTACGCGTAATAATTAAGGGTCGCTTTGGGCGTCCGTGATTTGCGTTTTAAATTGAATTAGATTCCAGCGGTAGAGAAAATTGCAGATGTTCCCGGACAATGCTCTTAAGCAAGGTTTGAAGTGCAAAGTCGTTAATTAGCCCTTTCAGGACGGGATACGGCTGTCTCGGGGGTACTAATTGGTGCCGCTGCGTCGTTCGGGCCAGTGGCGTCGCGAATATCTTTAATTACCACGATTTTTCTCCTATTATGCTAGTTTTCCGTTGTCGAATTTGTTACCGTTTAAATCCGCCCCCGATGTTACGAGTTGTACACAAACGCAATACAATCGTTTGTAAATTGCATTCGTGTGCCGTAATTTCGTCGGAATTATTTGATCGCATGTTTAGATAAACGGCCGACAATCGCGAACATGAAAATTTGCGATTTAGCGAAGTAACATTGACAAATAATTATTCCACGTGAGACGTTGCGAAACACGCCCTAATTATTAATATTATAACCGGGTCGAAATCAACGCTAATGGTTTAGTCGCGGAACCAAATTGTTATTCGATAAAAAGCGTCGATCTCGAACGGCCGCCGCCGGCGCCATCTGTCGGTATTCCTCGGCAGCGGCGGTTCTCGCCGCGTCCCATAGATGGCGCGGTACGATTAAAAGAAGATAGGCCTTATTTCTTTCGGATTAATTTTTGGAATATTATACATTCGAAACAATACACTGACAAAGCTTCCGGGCAGTATAACGGTGAATAAAGCATCTGCGGAGCAAATTTGGTACTGATCACAACTCGGTTTGTTAGTTATGACAGCTAAATTTTGAAAGACAAATAAGTAAAATCACGAGGCGATTATGATGAGCACGTTTAATAATAAAAATTGAGGAGGCAAATTACATCGCTTACAACGGAAAAATTGTTATGAGCGGAAAAAAATAATCTAGGAATGAAACTTTTATTCGATCAAAAATATCGATCTTGATCAGCCGGTCGTCGGTGGCGTCATAGGTCGGGTGTTTCATCATCATCTTCCGTGATTTCAATTTTATTTCCATTTTTCATAGAGGTTAAACCTATAAGTTTATTAAAGCAAACGCTTTCTGGCTAAAAATACCTGGTAATTTAATCAAAATACAACAAATTAATAAAAAATACGTACAGAAATACATGTAGAAATTACATTGTGTACGCGGATAATAAATTGACCAAGTTTTCCGGTATCCTAACATTGAATAAAGAACCTGCATGCCAAATTCGGTACTGATAAAACTCGGTTGTCTGTGATTATGTTTTGACAGCGGGACTGATTTTTAAACGATTTTTAACAGTTTGAGTATAAGGATTAAGTTTACCAATAAAAATTAGGTGGGCAAGGTTGGCATCTCAGTATCACAGACGTCGATAATTAAACGCTAATGATCTAATTGTGGAGAAAAATTGTTATTCAATAACAACCATGGATTTAGATCCAACGCCGGCTTCGCCATCTGTCCGCAACCTCGAAAGTCGCTGTTTCCGGCGCGACCCATAAATGGAGCTGCACGGGTAACTTAAAATGCATATTGTTTATATCAGGTTATTAATTTTGAGAATATTAAATGTCTCGAACAACTCCTTATAGTACGCGAGCGTTGAACTGAGAATTTTATTCTGTATTATAATGGCGAAAACTAATTTCGCCACTGATAAAGCTTAGGTCGGTTTTGGTTACGATTTGACAGCTGGCTTTCAAACAATTCAATAAATAAAACCACTATGTTTCAGGTGCTGAATAGAATCAAAAAATTAAAATACAATTTTTTTAGACTTGTTTTATCATGCAATACTTCCAGTTTTTTAAACAAATCGTCCTTTGAGTAGGTTTAAGTGAGTTAAGTTTAATAATAAAAACAGTGGGCAAGGTACGTCGTTCGCATCTCGAGATCACAGTCTCGTTCGAAACCGGCCACCGATAGGCCGACGTCGAAATTTTCCGCCATTGTAAATTAAATCGAGCGAGACGTTAAATAAACGCTAACACGCTAATTACGGGGTGAAATTGTTTTTCAATAACAACCGATTCAGATCAGACGCCGGCGGCGCGACCTGTCGGCCTTCCTCGATAGTCGCTGTTTCCGGCGCGTCCCATAGATGGAGCCGCACGATTAACGTTAAAATGTTTGAACCAGATGATTAATTTTGAGAATGTTAAATGTCCCGTCCTAGTAGTGCGCGAGCCTTAAACTGACAATTTTATTGGGTGGCGTTGGGTTATTTGACAGCTGACTTTGAAATGACAAATAAGACCGCTAGGCGAGTATAAGGGGTATTTTTAATAATAAAACTTAAGGGGGCAAGGTACATCGTTCACAAGGGAGAAACACGTCCGAGTCCAAGTCTCAGTATCACAGTCTCGTTTGTAACCGAGCGAATCGGCGTCGGGGGGCCTCAATCGATGTCGAAATCGGCGAAATCCTGGCCCAGCCACCCCACGCAGATGCAATAGTGCTGGAACAGCTGGACGAGCAGCTCCCGCTCGTCCAGAAACTCGATCTTCTCGATGCGGTGCCGTTCGGTGGCATCGATCGAATGGTACACCTGTACCATGTCCCACGCTTTCGCGCCCGCCCACCCGTTGTTGACGAACCTGCCCTTCTGGGTGTCGAGATTCTTGCACTGCGAGATACCAGCGAGGCTGCACCCGCGCGCCTTCAAGTTCCCCAGCATGATGTCGCCGAACGTGTCGTTTATGTTGCACATCTCGTAATTGACGAAGAAGCCGCTCTCGAAACTGGACGAGATCCACGCGAGGAGGCGGTTCACGCACTCACTCTCGATGTAAACGAGGACGCACTCTGCAATGAACAACGTCGGCCTGTCGAATTTGATCTGCGCCTGGTTCAGTTTATCTTTCAACTGCGCTATGTTACGCAAATCGACCCCCAAACAGTGGTAGTTGCCCGAGTGCAGGTCGACGGGGCTGAAAAACACCTCGCCGTCCTGCTCGTAGATCCTGTCGAGCAACGGTTTGTTTCGTTTGATCACGTAACACTTCTTCGAGGTGACAGTCGGAAAGTCCAGCTCGGTGTAGTTGGCGATGACGACGCCCTCGTCTTTCAGCCTCCAGTAGAGGGTGTCGAAGCCCGCGCCGAAGTTGACTATCTGCGCGGTACTCCCGGCTCTGCTGATAAACTTTTGGACGAACGAGTCGACGCTTTTGATCCGCGCGAAATAGCCCCTGTTGATTTCTGGGGCCCGCCTCTCCGTGTGCTTCACGAAGTACGATATGTAATTGTCGGTCCAGTAGCCCAACTGCACGGCGCCCCGCTTGCACTCGCTCGCGTCGTCGTTCGTCGCTATTACCGGTTGATCGCCCATCTCTGCAACCGAAAAGTTAGGTTATGTTGACGCTACGCTTATTTCGCACGAAACGCTCGCCGAAAAGAAAATTGATTATCTCTCCGCGACGAAACGAACTGAGAAATCGACACGGGAACGGCAGAGCTCGGCCGTAGGCAACACGCCGAGCACGCGCGTTGAAATGTGGGTTATCGCGTTTCGCCGATATTGGAACTACGTACGAGGCTCAGACGCGAATATGACGCCATCGAATGTGCGTTCTTATAGTCGATACGATTGGCGATGGTATGCTAAGCAAAACAATCTGATAATGTACATTTTAAACCGTTTATTCATTATATTTTGACTCCCACCTAGAGGATTATTTTTGAAAACAAACGACCATCGCGAGCTGCGATAATTACAGCAAAATACTTTTTTTTTACTGGAATGCCCTATACATCATTAGGTTAAATCGTAGATCCTTTTTGCTGATTTCAAAAACAAATAGTTTATTGACATTTCATTTAGCCGTTTTCGAGATATCTCAGGTTAAAAATAATCATTCAATTTCTGGCCATATTGTTCAAAAATGTTCTTCATTCGGCAACGAATCAAAACTAAAATTCTGCAGCGTTAGTTACAGAACTTTGGATATTTCAATACTGACGCAGAAAAAGGGCAAATAATAAAATATTATTCGAACGCACATAATGTTGCAAGGGTTAAAAGAGAATATCGACAAATATATCCGGGTACAAGAGTTCCTTCAATAAATACAGTTAGTAATGTAATTAAACAATTTGAGGACCGAAATAGTGTCACGTGGAAGGCCAGGACAATATAGAGAAATTTTGATGACGGTTATGTATTATCTAAATAATAATTATAGACTTTGGATAGGTAGGCAAGGAAGTATCAAATGGCCTGCCAACAGCCCGAACCTGAATCCTTGTGACATTTTTTGTGGGGATACTTAAAAAATAAAATTTATTATAATGGGCCTGAAAGTGACAAGAGAAAGACTTAATATCGTTTTACAAGATCTAAACAGAGAAAACCCTGATTTTATCACCTTGTGTATTAATAGGAAGTTGAAAGGAAATATTGTTCGATGTATAGAAAATAATGATAACTTACGCTTACCTTGATTAGTTGAGTAGGCCATTGTGAAAACACTGATTGCTATCAAGGCAGACTTGACCATTTTTAAACAATATGGCTATTGTCCAGAAATCGAAGAAAAATTATTTTTAAACTGAAATATCTCAAAAACGGATAAAATGAAACGTCAATAAACTATATGTTTTTGGAATCAGGAAAAAAAGATCTACGATGGCATTCCATCTAAATATTTTCATAAGATAATAGTGAAAAAATCTTCAAAATTTTGTCTTTACACTTTTTTTTTGCTACCTTTCAAAAATTAACCGAAAAAATATAATTATGTAATAATGTAAGCGATGGATCCGCGGATAAAAATTCGAAAGCCAATGTCATCGGCGGGCGAGAGGCCTTTCGTATTTCACGCGTATTGCGGGTTGCCTGCGATCATTTGATCGTCATCGGTTTGGTCGCCTTCGAACTGTCGAAAACCGGTCGTTTATCTTTCGAATTTGTCAAACGAACGGCGATAAATTAAAAGGGGCCCCTTTTGTGCGCGCGCGTGTGTGTGTGTGCAACGTCGGGAATTCGTGGAGGTTCCGTTTCCATAAATAATACAGGCACGGGGCGAGAATTGAAGCGAATAGCTTGGAAATAGCTTGCGAAATTCCATTTAGGTGTACAAAAGAAACTTTCGCCGACGGAAGTGAAGGTCGGGCGGTGGAACAGACGCCCCGCGGACGCATTTTTATACGGGGTGGTCCGAAATTAACGGGCCGAACTATGTTTATGGTCTTTGAACTAAGGTGGCTTTTACTTGATGAAAATCCATTTATCGAAATAAATAAGCACTAAAAGTTCAGATTTTCACGAAATTATATATTTTCACATGACATTTCTTTCGACAATGCCGTGTCTTTATGAAATGTAATATTTACAAACTACCTGCTACTATATATACGAAAAAATGACAATAAAACCTTAATTAGTTTTGTTGTGAGAATTGAAGTTCAATAAAGGAGAGGTATTTAAATCTAATTGATCGTTAACCAACACATTTGAATGTCTCATTTTGTTGATCTCCATGGCTTGCAATGAATTTAATTTTCTACTTTTTGTGGCTGTATATAAAATATCAAAATTGTCGCCAAAAATGTGTTTTTCTGTGTTTAAGTGTGTAGGATAATTGTTTTTAAACGCTTTTTTATGTTCGTTAATGCGTTTCTTGAAGGATCTGCCTGATTGTCCAACATAAATTTTAGGATTATTTATAAATTATCTATAAAAATTTCGGCTAACAAAGGACTAAGTGGGTTTCCCATAATCAAACCTTCCTTAGAGATGTAAATCTGTCCATTAAATTCAAAATAATTAGCAATCTAATAAATCTTGTTTCACCAATGGGTTAACCTGTTTCCGAGTTAGGGTGAAATCTACTAAATCTATCACATTCATAGGTGGAACACTGAGAAATAAGTTTTGTACATCAAAAGACGTAAAGGAAGTATTGCGTGAGAAGGGATTTTGATATCTTTAATTTTGTTGATTAATTCAAATGAACATTAATTAAGGTTTTATGGTCCTTTTTCGGTATATAAAGTAGCAGGTAGTTTGTAAATATTACATTTGATTAAGACACGGTGTTGTCGAAGCAATTGTCATGTAAAAATATATAATTTCGTGAAAATCTGAACTTTTAGTTCTTATTTATTTTGATAAATATAATACATTTAAATACCGTACAACCCCAAAAGTAAGTGCAGAACAATGTCAAAGGAGGATGCAGTCTGTTTGGATTTTTTAAATAGAATGAGAATAATAATTTTTTGAAAAACATTTTATGGATTGATGAAAGTTCGTTCACTACAAGAAAGGGTTGTAATAGACAACATACGCGATATTGGTCTTTAAATAATCCTAGACAAATACACGAAATAAAATCCCAGGGGTACTGATCAATTAATGTATGGCGTGGTGTCATAGATGGACATATTTTGGGTCCGATATTTATAGACCAAAAGTTAACTGGAAATCATTACTTGCAACTTTTCGAACACCAAATAAAACAATATATAGAAGATTCACCCCTAAATATATCAGCGCTGAATATATGGCAGCAAGACGGTGCCCCTCCTTACAATGTTCTGCAAGTCAAAAAATGTATTTTTTCTTTTGGGGACATAAAAAATCACGTGCACAGAACTCCTTCAAGGCATTTCAGAGGCCTTCCATCAGTTGAGAGACAATTTCTTAGGTAACCTTATAAATGTAGATGAAAGCCACTATCTTGGAATAACTCCGGTTGAGTATATGGTATTAAAGAGATTTACGAGGTTCATAATTGTCTTCATCCAATTTTTCCATATATTTTTGAAAAACGGTATTATAGATACAAAATAGGTGTATGTTCAAATAAACAACATTGTCAACGGTAGAGTTTGTCACATATGGTTAGGTGGAAGAACAGTCAATACGTCACTAAACTGATCGCCTTTTTCTAAATTGATTTGTTTTTATTTATTATTGGCTTTGATTTTCTTTTTAAAATGGACCCAAAAATCGCCTCGGTAATTGTTGACATTCAATTAGCACCCCTTTCCAAAAAACTACCGTTCCGGATAATACTAAATGCTCTTTATCGGCTTTAAAAAGAATGAGGTTAAGACCATAGATGACGGTTTTGGCATATGTGGTAAGTTATTTCGCAAGTTTGGGATTTGGCTGTGGCGCCACCTAGCGGCCAGAAGGGGTACTACATGTGTGCATGTATGTTTGATCTTCGAAAAGACCAGTTTTTCAAAAATTATACAGGGTATTCTTACCAGATCCGCTAGATGTCCTCTTCCTAAAGGCTTCCAAAGATTTTGTAAATGGTATTGCCCGCGGAAGTTTGTTTGAAAGAAAAAAATCCTACTTTGTGTTGTAATTTCGTTCGACCCACTTAGATCGTTACACCCTGTGTAGGGAATGAATACTTTTAGCGAGGCGGAACAAATAGGTAACGTTTTTCATGACTGTGCGATAGTTGAGAGCGAATTTAAAGAAGCCAAAACGTCCCGATCCTTCTGGCGTGTTTCCAGCTCTTATTCCACGGCCCGAGGCCTTCGGCATTTTAACAATCGATAACATTTTATCGTAATTTTATGCGAACGTAGATACGCGGGCTGCCAAGAATCGGATAAATCGCCTTTTGTCTCGGTACAAATCGATGGTCGCCGATTTCTGCGTTTTGAGGTTAGGAATTTCGGTTCGTCACAAAAAAGAACTTGTCTTAGTCCGGAAGACTTAACTCCCGGGGCGGCGCCACCGATGGGGAGCTCTTAACAGGATTATGGCCAGACAAATCCCATTTCCGTATCTCCTCTTCAAAAATTTGCGATGTCGTCTATGCAGACTTGTTTGCTTTGTAAGTGACCGGCAAATGCTTGATGTTTTTAAAACATCGTGGGTTTGTTGATTTTCCAATCACGACTAGCTTTCTTTTTTCTCTACCACTCATATTGGCAGCTACTAATATTGTTATACGTTCACACTTTTTATGACGCATTTTCGTTCCTCCATTATCTGGACGCCATTTAACGGCGACATAAAACGGGCGGTCATATATAAGTCTTAATAGAACCCACCCCCCCCCCTCTTATACCGGAATGAATGTCATTAAGCCCGTATATAAGTACGCTTAATTAACCCAATTCCGGTCTATTTTCCCGTGGAGGGGGCGCGACGATCGAGGTCAAAGGAAAATTACCGCTCGGCGTCGAAAATGCAAATCCGAGATGATTCAACGACCGTTGTATAAAAAAGTACGACGACCGGAGCTGCAGGGTCATTAACGTCCAAGTTTTAGGCTGCTACAATATTTGACGTTGAAAAACATACTCAAATCGTCTACGAGGCACGAGGGTTGCCACTGGGGCCGCAGAGCCTTATGTTTAGT